CCGATCTCTAGGGGATTCTGGGAGTTGAAGTCCACTCATCTTAAAGTGGCCAAGTTTGGATAACACTGTTTTATACTGACCTCAGTCCTTGACTTGGGGGAACCTCACACACACAGTGGACTTACTGCCTGATTCCTCATTATACACAGGTTTGCAGCAGGAATATGTGAACTGCCTCCCTTGCACACAACTGCGTGTTTTCTTTTCTTTTTTGAGATAGTGTCAGCTGATACCAAAGCTCTTGGTACGCCAATGTTTCTCAGCCTTGGCAACTTTAAGCTATGTGTACTTCAACTCCCAGAATCCCCTAGCCAGCATGGCTGGCTGGGGAATTCTGGGGGCTGAAGTCCATACAGCTTAAAGTTGCCAAGGTTGAGAAACACTGGTGTACACTGTTGAAACTGGAATTGTTCATTCAGAAGTGCAGTAAAAGGTATGTATGCTGGAATGGACCTTAGGTGTTTTTAGCAACTCCCTTACCTCGATTAATAGACTTCTCATTTATTTTGATCACTTCTAAAGAAAAAAGCAAGACTAGTCCTCAATGTTTGCTTCTTTCCTGTTTTGTTGGAAAACTCTCTGGTTTTTTTTTTCTGTTGCACAAAATGTAGCCTATCAATGTGAAGCTAAACCAGATCTGATTCATCTTAATATATAAATGTTACCACAGAGAAATCGTAGCAAGCTGATCAGTCAGATGGGGGCAAAGTCACGATCATTTTAGAAATAAATGTCGGCTGTGATCTTCTTAAACACTTCCATGTTTTAACATAAGGAAAACATAGGATCCACAGTCCACAACACAGTCCTTGTCACTCTAAAGACCTGAGTTGTAAAAAGCAAATGTTATGTAAATCAAAACACTTTGTCCAAGAAAATTTGCCATTTTCCAGTGGGGAAGAAAAAGCTTGAATTGAGATGGTTTATTGTTGGTTTGTATCAACTGAACAAGAAGCATTTTAAGCTACAAGGCAAATGTTGTATGGCAATGCATTGCATCCACTCACCAAGCCCTTTAAAATTTGGGATTATACTATATAATTATCCAATTACAACCATGTGTGAGCAGGTTAATATGTTGGGATGATTTCACCTGTAGAAAACGTCCCCCAATAACATGGAACCTTCGTTTCATTTAATACCATCAAAAATGCTCCCAATGTTTAAAAGCCACATTTTCCTCCCCCCCCCCCCCGGCCCCCCATTGCTTATTGTGAGACAGGAAATCTGTAGGGGAAATCATGAGCAGAAATGTGGCTCAAAAACACTACGAGACTTGAAAAAACCTAAATAATAAACGATTGAGCTTGAACCAGGATTGCCGTATAAAATAGAGACATATTTTACTTCAGCAAAAAAGGCTGCAGGACAACTCAGCCTCGGGGGCCACAGATGGTCTTTGTACAGAAAAGCTTCACAGCCAGACATGATGTAGTTATTGACAGATGTAGTCCTCGGTACCCTTCCCCACAGTTGCCACTGAACTGTAATTTTCAGTGTAACTGTAGGAGAAATTATGTCCCATTGTGTCAGCCTTTCAAGGTAGTCCAGGTAAACCAAAATCAAAAATACTAATGCTACCTTTATTGTAAGGTTACAGCAGTGTTTCTCAACCTTGGCCACTTTAAGAGGTGAGGACTTCAACTCCCAGAATTCCCCAGCCAGCATGGCTGGCTGAGGAATTCTGGGAGTTGAAGTCCACACCTCTTAAAGTGGCCAAGGTTGAGAAACACTGCTCTACGCTCGTCTATTTAATCATAATAACTGTATTTAATTTAGAGAAAATCCAATTTAGCTATTGTCTTGGATGCATCAAGGTTTTTTTCAATGCAGACTCCAGCATGCTATTCAAAGGCTATATTCTTCCCTTGGCAAGAGAAAAGTACCCAGTCTGGATCTATCTCGATTGGACTCAAGTACCATCTGGATCAGCCTTCTGCAAAATATGATGTCTTCTGACTATTTTCCCCCCTGTGGAGCCCTGAAACTGGCTACAGCAAAGATGATGACGTTGATAACCTGGTAAAATACATATATTTAACAAAAGTTAATGTCACATAAGCCATTTTTCAAAAGAAGTATAAAAGAAATATATGGCACTGAACATGATGTTCAGCCACCGAGAAATGTTGAATATAGTTTGAAGCAAGAAAAATTACTAGCCTTTATTTCTGTATTAAGGCATCTTTTTGTGGTGACCCTGTCAAGGCATATTCAACTTACTGAACAATGTATCACAATATCACCAAGTAGAATACATTACTATCTAAAAAATTATTTTTGCGGCAGCAGAGAAAAATAATAGTGGCACAAGACAACAATAGAAACATACAGAAACCTGTTGCAAACAGAATCAAGAAACAGCAACTAAAATGACAAGCAGTTTAATATAAATATCAGTTAAAAGTAGTTTGGAATAAATACATCTTCGAAGCTTCTTTTAAAAGGCATCAGAGGAACAGCTATATATGTCTAGGTAGGAAAGGTTCTCCAGGATCTGAGTTCTCATCTTGTGTTCAGTAAGATACACTTGAAAATTGGTGGGTAAAAATATTGGTGTATCAAGAACATGGCTGAATAAACTTCCCAGTGCATAGAGGGGGTGGGAAGATGGGTAAGGTTTCAATATCGCACACATCTCATTGTGCCACCCCAGAATAATTTGGGCAAATAGTACCTATTGCTGGAAATGCAACTCTAGAAGTGCCAGCATTTTGCATCCTTTATCTTCTTGATCACTAGAGGCATTAGCACAGTGTTTTTCAACCTTGGCCACTTTAAGATGTGTAGACTTGAACTCCCAGAAATCTGGGAGAATTCTGGGAGCTGAAGTCCACATATCTTAAAGTGGCCAAGGCTGAGAAACACTGCATTAGCAGCAAGCATTAGTTCTTTGTTCCTCTCATTGTCTACGCTCTACTTCCCTGATTGGAAGACTGTTCTATACAGCTGGCTTCCTAAAGGAAGAATACAGTAGTCCTTGCTTAGCGACCACTCATTCAGTGACCATTCAAAGTTACAATGGTGCTGAATGAGGAGACTTTTGGCCAGGCCCAAAGTTGCAGCCGTTGCAGCATCCCCATGGTCACGTGATTGTGATTTGGGCACTTGGCAACCAGAACGCAATTACCACAGTTACAGTATCCCATGGTCATCTGATTGCCATTTGCGACCTTCCTTGCCAGCTTCCGACAAACGAAGTCAGTGGGGAAGCCAGCAGGAAGTCGCGGTCACGTGATGTCACGCTTAACAACCATGCATGATTTGCTTAACAACTGGAACTGCCAGAACTGCTGTCATAAGTCGGCGTGGTCATGTGATTTTTCGCTTTACGACTGCATCGCTTAGCAACAGAATTCCCAGTCCCAATTACGGTCATTAACTGAGGACTGCCTGTAGTGAATTTTCTCTTCTCCCCCACTACAAGGACTGAAAACTCAGAGATGCACACTTCCTATTGGGACACATTACTTAATAAACATTACTTGTCCTTTTGGACCTTAAACATCCATCTCAAGATCCTCTGAATGGGTGAGGGACAATTCTCATCCTACACTCTGCTAATTAGGGGTCTCTGTGAATAAAATGGGAGAGTCCAACTTCCAACTTTCCCTACTATCATAAAAAGCAAGACCAATGTTATAAGTTTGCTATGTACACGGCCACAGAAATTTCATTGGTGTGGAACGGGGATTAGTATTGTTGTCTAAAACTGTACCTCAACCCCCGACAGGTTGACTGTCTCCCCTGCCCTTCTCTACCTGCACCCGCAGGACTCAGCCACCATGTCTGGGTAGACCTTAACGATCATCCCTTGATCACTCGTAAAGGTAACCATGAGACTTTGGGAATATTTCACCGGGACACAGCAAGGGGCCCGCTGGAGCGGCATGCCCTGTTCATACATACGCAGCAGGAAAATGGTGTGGGAGTAATAGTCCGGGATGCGGGTGGAGAGCGGGCTCTGGCAGGGGCCCACGCAATTGTTGGCATTGTACGACTCCGGTAAAATGATGTACCTCGTGGAGACTAGGCTTATCCTGAGCTCTCGCAGTCGGCAGTAGTCGTCCTGGACCTGAGTGCTGCGGTTGGCACGTAAGGACACCTTCCTGGCTTCCCGCCAGCGAGCGCGCACCACCTGGAGAGCCTTGAGCAGCAGAAGGCTGTGGATTTTTCTGCGGGCCTGTGTTTCCTCTGCTTCTCCAGGATCACTAGTGGGAACCTCTTCCAAGCCCCTCGAAGGGTAGTAGCAGAGAGTCAGCAGGGTTCGGAAGAGGTCTGCGTTGGCTTGGAAAGAAGGCATCGCTCTCAGTTCTCGGATCACAGACTGCAGCTTCTGCAGCAGTTGCCGAAGCAACTTTCCCTCCAGGTGCCACTGGCCCAGGTGGTGCTCCATGAAGGCTTGGCTGTTCTCGGGGAAAAGGACGACTAAGTGATTTTCAGACTGCACCAGCCACTCAAAAGCTACTTTCTCTGACAAGTTGAGCAACTCGTGCGGAAGGCCCTCCATTGTGTCAAAATCCAGCCGGAGGTGCCCCTGGGAAGCAGGAGGCTCGCCAGAGGGGTTCAGGACTTTGTTGACAAATTGGGAGAGGGTCCCCAGAAAGTATCCAGGGCTCGTGAGCCCTGACACAGTGGTATTGGTTTGGTTAGCGATGGTGGCGGCCTCAGATGGTGTGTGGGCCACACCGGAACTCAGCAAGCTGCTGGAGAGAAAGCAGATTTTTAAAAATGATTTGACTGTTTCCTTGTTCTGCACTCCCAACTCCTCTCTGCAGGCAGGAGCCACAGGCAGGCATTCAAGGTTGCTGAGGTCAAATGGCGAGTTGAATATCTACCCAGTTGCTCATAAGAAAACTAGATTCACACTTTATGCTAAGCCATAAAGCCATGTTTGCTTACTTATCACTGAATTTATCCTGCCTTATCTTGGGCTACACTGGGTGGTCTCCCTTCCTTTTATCCCCACAATAAATTGATTGGGCTGAAAGAGAGCAATTCACTGAGCTCTGTAGCTGAGACTGAGACTGGAAAGAGGAAACCAAAGTTCAAGATCTCCAACAACCATGGAACACTTCGCTACTACATTGCACCGCTTTATAATAATGCCATGTAGGAAAATTTGCCTGCATTTTCTTCCTACCAGTTCTCATCCAGTTTAATGGAAGAAATATGTTTGGATGTTTCTTTCAAAAAGTAAGTTCAGCGAAGTTCTCAAAGGTAGAGTGTGATGGACATGCACATACCAGTAATAAGACAAGGGGTGTTTGTGAAGGTTCTTTGGTCCTCAATGGTTGACAGACTCACTGGCTCCCAACCCCTCAATTAAATCCAGAACATCCAAAAGGGTTTCCTCTGGTGGGGCTTTTTCCACTTTGGGAAATGTGGCAGTCAGAGAGATGGAAATTATTACATAAAACAACAGGGCTAGCAGCAGCAGCAGCGTCAGTGATCTCAAAGCATAAAGAGAAACAGGAAAGAAATTCTCAAGCGCTCCTGGGGGAAGAAAGAAAAAAGGCCGATTCCCCAGAAGAAAACGTCAAGACCATGCAAGATGGCATTCAGCCCAGCTTTAGTTTATAAACCTGCTGCTTGCAGACCTCAAACATTAAATGAAGATGAATGAACTGAATTAATTCAATTCACCTTAAGTCATGCAAACGTTTTAAAATGGCTGCCTTCTTGAAAAACCCCCCATCAAGCAAGACCACTGACACGTCCTGCTCCTTCAACTTTGTCCAAAATCAGACAAGATTTCGGCATTTTCGGAGGAGATTTTGGAAACAAGCAGTAATGAAGTGGCTCTAATCTGCTTTTATTTACACGGCTGCTGCCCTCGGAAGGGACAGGATGTTCCTTCTGAGGGCTTCGCAAAGTCCTTATCAGGCTTCTTGGCAGGCAGGATCGGAAGTTTAAACAGGCCCGTAGGAATCTGAGATCTTCTGATAAATGCAATTTACTTCGGAAAGCTAAAAGGCCTTTACAAAAGAATTCTGGCAACTGCTTTGTATCCGATGGGAGTCTTATTAATACTGGGATCTAAGTACCTTGCTTGAACTCTGCAACAGGCTGGATAGCCCTCTCTTTTGGGCAGGGGGCTTTGTTCCTACCTGCCTCTGTTTTGGCAACAGATATGATAGGCTGTCTCCCTCTGAGCATGTAAGAACTAACTCTCCCACTCCCTTCTCTGGCCACTCTTGGAAACTGGAACCTGGACCGAATGGAGATTCCATCTGATCCAGCAGAATTTTTTTCTCTGATTTATCCTGTAGTTGTCCTTGGGAAAGCATCAGGTATAAAAGGCAGTAGTAGAGAACATGCAAAATGTGGAAATAGCCCACACAATCAGGAAAGCTGCAACCATGGGAAGAGCTGGTGCAGTTGTTCTCTCCTGCGGGCCTGGAATTTAGGCTCCAGCGGAGAACGGGGTGCAAAGTCAGAAAAGGGGAAGAGAGGGCTGGTCACCTGGGTTTCAGGTACGGCAACGCATCTAACTTGCCATCTGCAGAGAGGAAAGAAGTGGGCGGATGGGGGCCGACTCCGAAGCTTTGTTTCACCAAGAGCAAGACTGCTGGGGTCCTGCGGGTGAAGCATTTGGCATCGAAGCCAAACAGAAGGTCCTGAGCTTCATCAGACGAGACAGCAGCATCTGGGGGCAAGAATACAACAAAGGAACAAGAAAATGGCTGACTGGACCAGCAACAGTCATCCTTCCTCGGTTGCCGTAGGTTCCTGAGGCCGGAGAAGCAGTGGAAACCAATTAAGAGACCATACAAGTGACACGGGCATCGTATGCCAGGTTATCATCTCACACGTGGCTCAAGTTCTTAGCCCTAAAGCCGCTCTCAAATCTTTCATGGGAAGTTGAAAAAGAAATCAGAAGAAGGCCCAAAACCTTTTTCAGGAAATCAGGGAGACGTTAATATATATATTAAAAAGTGTCAACAAAAATTAACCCTAGAGACCAACAGAGCAACAGACCTTTCTCTGGGAAAAAGAAACAGGAGGAATCTGAACAGAAAATATGAAAACAACAATGAGCCATGTCAGCCACAAGAGCTTGCAATGTTAACGCACCCTGATTACCTAGATTACTGCAATGCATTTTACATGGGGCTGCCCTTGAAGACTACTCTGATACTTCTAATGCAGTAGCCTGCTTGCTGGTGGGTGGGAATGGCTAAAATCAGCAGTATAGCACCGGTATTGTGCTCCCAAATTTTTCCAGGGGCAATTCAAAGAGTGGCTTTTCACCCAGAAATTGTGCTTTTCACGTGATGGGCACAATCTTGTGAAACAGCCTCCCTTTCAGAAACTGGATCAGTTCTCTCTCAATTAGCTTTCCCTTGCCTGGGTAAAATGGAATTTCTGATCCAGCGCTTTATATCTTATGATGTGGTTTGCACTTTTTTGGTGGATTTATATTGGTTGATTTGATTTATCATAAAGGTTTTAATTCTGTTGCTAACTGCCAGCAGTCCTTAAGGATTATGGCTGTCCATAAAACAAACAAAGAAATGGTTAATGCTATTTTGTCCTCATAATGACCCTGGCGAGATGGAGAGAAAGCCCAGCTCGAGGTTATCCACATGAATGGGAATTTGAACCCACGCCTCCCCAACCTTGCTAATTACGACATGCCCGCACCTTTTAAAAGCAGATTTATTTATATATCAAATTACCAATTTTGCTAATATTGAAATTAGGTGATTTATTAGGGTGTCTGGCACCAGACACCTTAATAAATCACCTAATTTCAATATTAGCAAAATTGGTAATTTGATATATAAA